AGGTCCTGTTCGATGTCGCCCGGCCCTCGGACTACAAAAAGTTTCGCTTGGGGGCACAGTTGAACCTGGGTGCGGATGTCCACTTCAACCCGAAACCACCAAAAAATATGCTCAAGGGGTCCCTGTGGCGGCGGGCAACCTGATCTGGCCATACATCAGACTGAAATGTCTTCATGTTTACAGCTGACCCCTGCACAGGAAGAGAAACATGCAAATTGCATCAATCTTGCACACCGAGTAGACCCCAAGACCCCACATGTCCCAACCTAGCTGAAGAGGATAGAAGGCGGCCGTAGAGTCGCTCGGGGCTGCACTCGGTGCGAGGACCTGCAAAAGCACACTGCGGACCACAAGCCAACCCCCAGCGCGAACACAGGCTGACTGGGGCCTCCGCGTTCCCATTCCTGTCTGGGAGTCTGATTACCATCACCATGTCATGACATGGCAGGATATCGCGGGTTCGGTAACGGATCCATGAAGCTGAGCCAAAAGAGCGGCGGAGATCGGGATGGTCATGTCGACTCGACGTAGCCGAAGGATCGGGGCAGGGGTCCCGCCTTGCCGGCAGGTCTTGTAGCAGAGCAAGGGAAAGCAGCTTCTCCTCGTGGGCCTAAGGCTCGGGCGAAGGCGAAAATTTCTCTCACGTGCTGGTCCAAAGCCTCAGTTTGCGTCAGCTCCCGGTCGTTCAGAAGCTTGTCTTTGTCCTCGTCCATGGCCGGTCAGCATCCCATACTGGACCGAACATGTTTGCAGAGCCGTCCTTCTCGAGCAACTCCTGCTCCTTCTCGACTGCCTTCGTCAGCCGCAGCACGTGGTCATCCAGTGCGGATGCCTTCCGCATACACCGCACCCTTTAAACATGGGTTGGAAGGGTAACGGTGGCTCAACTCTGCCTGCACCCGCAAACCCGCCCCGGTCCTGGCGTGGGCAGCCTGGGTCATGGGATTCTTGGTCTCTTGCCAGGCGCTATACCGTTATGCCTACTGAAGCCCAAACGAAATACCCCATCTCGAGACAAATCAGTGATGTGAATGTGCGGGCTCATCCGCACGACAGTTGTCGGCGGATGTTGGCATCTTGCAGTACACCTCATAGGGATGCTCGTTGAAGGAAAGACTCGGATCGTGTGCTGATGAACGCTTCGAATCACAGAAGATAGCACAATCATCGAAGTGTTTTGGACATCGCAGCCCGCGCGTCAGGACCGCCTACTGCATGCACTGCATACACACCACGTCGCACCCCCTCACCCCCCTCGCGCCCCTGCCAGCGTGCAACGTGTGCGTGCGCCTGCTGGGCCGCGAAGGCGGCGCGCTCTTCGCGCCGCTCCAGAAGCCTCGGCAAGCAAGGCTTTGAAAGCAGGGGAGGAAAGCAGAAAGCGAGCCGACGGGCGACGATCGACGATCCGACTGACGGGCGTGTCGGCCCCCCGGCTCTCGTCGCAGCTGCGCCGTTTCCTCGTCGCCCCGCTGGGCCGCCGCCTCTCCGCCAGCCGGTCAAGGCAAGCGGTGCCCTGTCCCCTTTCTCCCCGTATCTCCCCGTGCCGCCTTGGCATCGCCGAGCTGCTTGGAGAGCCGAGCCACCTACACAGCACGGACGGGCCGCAACACGCAGGGGAACGGCCCGTGCTCAAGCCTTCTCCTCCAAACTGTTGGACTGGGACTTGAGTAGCCGCACCTCGCTTGAGAGGGACGGTGGGAGTTGAGGCTACCTTGGCTTTTGGGGCCCTCCTCCTCCTGCAGCGAGTCCCTCTCGCACGTAAGCATCGTGGAAGCAGCCCGGCGGATGGAAACCGCCTTCACATCAGCTACCAGCAGGGCACAAGCAATAATCTCGGCTTCTGCTGGAAGTCGGCATGCACGCAGAGCAAAACCCTCCAAACTCCCACCTCTGCCAGCCGCTTCTTACTGGCAGGACTTAGGTCTGCCCTCGCTGCTTCTAACCTGCGGGGGGGAAGGTAGAGGTGATCTGGATTGGGCCGGAAGCTCGCTCTCAGTCTATGTTTTGCTGCCCTCGAACCCTCTCACTTCTTACGAAAGGAGGGCATGAGTTTGTCGCAGACCTGGTCGCCAGCACCAGCCCGCGCTTCTCCAGGGCATCGAGCTCATGGCGCAGGGCTGGCACAGGTCCAAGCCGGTGAATTTGCAAGAGCACGTCACCCCCACAGCTCGGCTGCCTTCCTCTCGATCGGCACTCTTTCGCGCGATCTCCTTAACAGGTACAACTGATCGATCCGGCGAGCATTGTGCGGGAATGTGCATCTACGTGTGACCTTCGTGATCTCCAGCCTCCATGTCCTGCTTCTTGGCAAGGAGTGCCTGCTTCTCCTCGAAGCGAGGCGAGGCTGGAGCACCGAAAGGGAAAACGCGTGAAATGCTGGGATGCGCCTCCTCCAACCTCTGCACATCATCCACATCGCCCTCGGCTTCTCTTGATCTCGTCGCACGGCTACAGGAGAACCCGGATCCACGAAGGCCCGCACCTGACCGTCCCGATCTCGTGACGGCGACTTCGAGACAGTCGCCCTGCGAGCGCAGAGGGCACGAGTGCTCGGCACCAGGGAAATTGCGAGGAACGGGACCGGGCTGCTCTTACAGCCTTGCAGACAGCTTCCGTTTTCACCGCTTGCAGTTTCGAGTTATGCGACTGCGTCGAGCCCAATTAGCACGACTCAGCGCTTTGTTGATCTACAGAAAGCGCCAAACGTCCAAAGTCACACGACAGAACACAAGGTTGCCCTGTCAAGCAAACAGCGATGCGATCGCCATGATCTCTTTCTGAGCTCATGGTTGGTGACTTGGTTTCCGTCGTATACACACCGGAAGCTATTGGCCTTCTTGTTTCAGCTTCTTCTGCATCCAGGCCACGATGCGGTCATCGGACTCCCGCGACTCGGGCAAGAACGCTGAGCACCACTGGAAGGCGTGAGGCATGTGCGGAACAAGGTCCACAGTCACATCAACACCGGCCTTCTTGGCCTGACAGGGACGTCGGGCGCGAAATTAGATCTTTAGAACGAAACTGATTCCCATTCTGAGTTCAACTTTAGCTTGTGCTGACCGGCTACCTAACTACTTAAAACCGTCTACATCTTGCAGGAAGTCCGCCTTGTTAATCACCTCCTTGTTTTCATCCAAGCACACCTCATGCTCTGAAACGGAGACGTACAACGGACAGAGACCTGCCATCTCGTTGTACACCGGAGACATCCTCTCTCTGTGTTCGTCACCACCGCACATCTGCCCGAGCACCGGGAAGATGTACTCGTAGACTCTTTGGGTGACGACCTCATGTCCAGAACAGCGCAGATCGAACGCAGGTCACAGTCTAGAAGGCTTGAGGAGGTTTCAGATGCAAAAAAAAAGTCAAAAAGGGGTTAAGCGGGTGCACATGCTTGTCAGATAGCCAAGCCTAAGGCAGGCGACCCAGTCGATGGCAGGAAACTCCTTCATACTCTTGGAGGGTGTTGTGTAGCGGACCCACGCGCCACAAAGCACGCAGCCGGCAGGCTGAGGCTTCGGCTCCGAGTCCTGGAAGAACCTCTTTTCACTTCTCGGGTCCCCACCCGCGGCGGTCAGCTGAAGTAGCCGTAAAGCTATCCCGCCTCCGGAAGACAGGCCGTACACAACAATGTCCTCTGGAGCGGCCCTGGTCAAGAGCCACTCGTACCCACGACAAGCATCCACGAAAGAGTCCTCAATGCCAAACTCTGGATACAACCTCATGTCGAGCATGAAGATGTCGCAGCCAATTCGCAAGGCGAGCTGCTCGGCAATACCCATGCTGCTCTGAACAGTTCCACCAACAAAGGCACCCCCGAAGATCCAGTACATCACCTTCGGCTTGTCTGTCTTACCACCATACGGCACGTGTATGTAGGTGCCACTGACCCCTTGGTGTGGCAGGCATATGACCTCCCGTGAGAAGCTTGGTGAAGGCGGGCAGCTGGAGTCCAGCTGCGCAAGACTGAACCGCATCCTCCGCACATCTACAGGGATAAGCCGAACCCAGTAGAGCACGTTCCCGAGGGCGTGGGCCTCAATGGAAAGCTCATCCGCCATCCCACGTTGCACCAGCCAAGCCGGCAGCGCTTTGTGCAGGATAAGCCAGATTTTCCACAAAGTCATCATCAAAACGTAACGGATCCTTGGAGGAAGCTTCAGCCAGAACCACATCGCAGGCACCTCCAGCGGAAGAAACAGCGGGGAAATCGCTTGGATCACCCGGCGGAGGGGACCTTGCTCGACCAATGGCTTGGTCAACCATTCCGGCAAGCCCAGATTCAACCGCAAGGGCTTTGAGCTCTTGGGAGCTGTTACCTCCATGGCCAAGCACCCAGGGCGAAGCCCTCCACTTCTTCGATTGATGCCAATTAGGCGTTTGCTGTGGTGTGCGGTGATGTGCTGTGCTGTTGCCACTTCGTGCTTGGGCTAAGCCGTTCACTTCTGGGCAAAAGCTGCGGATTCCCCGACTCAGTAGCCCGAGTCTCCCCTTGCAGCTCAGAGGCGGGCGCTCCCCCTCCCTGCCCTCAAAGTCCTGCCTGCCCACCAGGCGACCGGATGGGTCCGGAACAGGCGCCATGTCAGCATCGGGCTGTGCGAGGGTAATGAGACACTGGCAGCTGGATGATTCGGCTCGCGGCTTCTGCGACTTAGGTCAACCCTTTCTGCTGACATGAACCTCAATAATCTGCATTTTGCTATGCCGCGACCCATGCTTCCTTGCTGGCTTCTGGTTCGTTTTGCGTTGAGCGCAAAAATGCAGCCGAATTCTCGGACGGTCTTAACTTGGAGGATTCCACAGTCTTGGACCGAAGAGCTGAGGGCCTGGGGTTTGGTTCGCAGGTTCGTCCCGTCTACAGATCAGCCAGATGGCTTACGGCGCAAGAACAGTGCAGTAGTGCATGAGCACAACGGCGCGCCTCAGCCATGTCACAAGGTACTTCAAGGTGGCCCGACACGGTTGCAATTCAAATTGAATCTCAAGGATGCCGGATAGACTGGACGCTCTTTGGGCAGGTTGCCAACGTAGAGCCGCGTCGGCGCCATGGCCTAGCACCTTGAGCTCTTGCACGGCAAGACTCATGCCGATTGACAGAAAGCATTCGCGTCACTGTAGTCATTGCAGACTCCCTCGTCACATAGCAGATCCCACCCTCGACCACTGGATTTGACTCGGATGATGCTGGATTTGATTTCCGCTACCATGTCACTACCAGCCTTTCTTGCTGTAGGAAATCGAAAATCCATGCAGCACAAAGCGCAAAGCCCTTCACAAGTCATGTCATGAGCCTTTCCGTCTCACGCCTCGCTGACATCCAATGGGCCAACACTGCCCGGCGACGGAAGCGGAGAGTAGATTGGAGGGCGTTTGAAGAGTGGAGTGGATTGCCTGTTGTGCCATGGAAGCCATCACAAGCACATGGCACAAGGGTTTCGGGGTGCAACATAGTAGGGGCTCTTGGTGGCCAGCAGCTAGCTGCAATGTACCACTGTACCCACACCAGCTTTGGGCTGCGACATCGGGGCCACTGAGCTTCGCACTTGTCGTCTCTCAAGAAGATCTCCACACGCGCGACCAAAACCTCGTGAAAACTGACCCTGGTGAAGTGACACAACGACAAACGACTGAACGTGTGACTTATCCGTCCATGAGGAGGCGGCAGGAACCCCTTTCCGTAGTCGGCTTCAGCGTCCTCACAGCCAAGGCACCTCAGCTTACCCAAGCACAGCTCAGCGCGAACGGAAGAATGCAACGCCAACCGTGAGCCAGCAGCCAGACCAATGCAGCATCCTTGCAAAACGAGGTTCCGCCAAGACACACACAAGCTGCAGAAGGCAGCTGGGACGTCACCACTCCCAGTGTCGCTGTAAGCCCACAAGTCAGGTACCAACGAGAAATATGAAATGCACGCATGGAGGCGATGGAGCTGTCTGAGGGGTGCGTTCTAGGGAGCACGAGCACTGCTTGAGCAGCTCCTTTCGGCGTTGGAGTCTGGGATACGCATGTCGCAGATCCTCACCGACGAGGGCTCATACAGCCCATCCTTTGTACTGGAAGGTGAAAGGTAGCTGGCGCCTGCAGCAAGATGCCTGACCCTAAGCTAACTAATCTGTGCTGATTCGATCTGCACAGACAGCATGTCCTCTCGCCGTGCGAGGATACAAAGCTCCACAAAACACGAGCGCCGGGGAATTGGAAGCAGACGTCGGCAAGCCCTTCTTCGCATGTGTTTAGCAGCTGGTGTCCAGTGCTTTCAGCAGCAGAGTACAGACGGCTGTATGGCGAGCTCTCACCAAACACGGCCTTCGCGTGTCACCTGCATTCTGCACACGCAAGTACACTTGTTCCGACACAGCTCCAGCCAAATGCCTTGAGATTGAGGGAGTTGAAGAGCTTCTTGAAAGCGAAGAAGGTCAGAGATCCAGCTTCTGGCAGTCCGGTCGAATCGCAGTTTTATGACTGATCGGCATCCTTCACAACAGAGGAAAGCTCTTGTGCCTCCGGCTTCCTCCAGCCCGACTGCCAGCATCTCCTCGACCTCGTCTGGCTTGCAAACCTCCGGGCACGGCGTCCGTACGTTGACATGACTGCGCGCAAGAAACAAGCGCCTCCGCCGGGATCCTGTATCGCTTCAGGGCCACCCGAAGTGCCTCGGACAGTCAGGATAGGCTCGGTGGCTGGGCTTCTGAGGCTCCTGCCTCTGGGGTGATTCCCGAGCTGTCCGTGCCCCGCAGTGCCTGGAAGCTCGCCTCCAAACCCATGCAGAGCTATAGAACTTTCCACGAAGCCACCAGAAGGCCTTGCCTCAGCCGCCTTCGCCATTGCTGCTGCCGCTGCCTTCGCCGCCTCCTGGAAGCTCTCCAAAAAGTCTAAACTTAAAACTTAAAACACACACACAGAGACGGAGGTCGCTTCATGGGTTTTTGAGAATTTCGCATCGATCAACATTACATTTGTATCGAAGGCATCGATGAGGTGCGAGAGCCCCGCCCGCCCGACAGTGGAAATGGGGCCATTCCCCAGATCAGACTGCCAGAATGGAGCTTGGGTCCAAACTTCCGCAGGCTTATGGACCACATTCCCCGCATCGGGCGGGACATTGGCAAACTTACACCAAAAACGCATTCCCTCCCCGACTGTTTTTCGCGGTGGTTACATGTTTGGCCTCATACTCGTGAAAGCATTTTTTTTAGAGGCTACGTTCGCCAAGCTTCTGGTGAGTCTCTTTTTTGGACACCCCTAAACCCCAAAATCTCATAGCAGTCGGGGCCGACCTGAAAAGGAGTCGAGCGCACTACCACGACGCACGTAACACTCGGATGTCCGAGAGTCTGATATTGAAACGCAGAACCTGAAAACACGAAACGATTCTGGCATCCATGCAGTGCTCTGAACTTGTGAATCAGCCAAATAGAAGCAGTGGAACGAAGTTGTCCTCAAGCACTACCTGAAAGCCTGGTGTGGAGGATGGTAACTAGCGCACACCAGCTGCGAACGCAAACACTCGTGTCGTGCTTCTGCTTGCCCGGCGCGCTTTAACCATCCATGACCGCTGTCTTCATTAGAAGGAGAACCACCGTGACTGCTGCTGCCCCCTGCAGCAACAAGAAGTTCTTTGGCGATGCAACCTAGCTGAGGCCCTTGGGATTTTGCGATGTCAGGACACACAGGACAAGGAGCTTTTCTCCTGCTTTTCTGCATGTCGCGCACGCTTTGCTCGGGCAGCGCTGGATTGGCGAGCCTGGAGCTTGCAAGCCACCGGACCCCAAGGCTCGAAGGACAACACACGGCTTGGCTGCAAAGCATTGTCACTGTTTATGCTTTGAACCCAGAGCAGCAGAATAATTGCCTTGAAGGGCTCCTCCCCAGACAAGTCCCTAACTGGCCTCTGATAAGGGCCCTTCCGTGCCAGTCTCGCTCCAGAGGCGGCTGCTTTTTGAGCTGCCGGCCACCTGAGCTCATGCGATGACAGCAAGAAGCACGACGTGCAGCATTCGACGAGCGGCCTCCCCAGCACCAGGTTGATGTTGCTGGCTGGCTGGGCCTGGGCATGTCGATCAAGACGAAGTCAAGGTGCATGCGCTGCGGCAGCGCACGTTCTGCATCTGTCAGCAGGAGACACTAAATTTGAACGCAGATTTTTGTATGCACGAGGATGTCTGCACGTTCTGCAGTGTCGGCGAGGCACCGAATTGGTCAGCTGCACACGGCTGTCAAAATTAGCCACGATTGGGATTGCACTGCTGTTTGTCTAGCAGTTGTGCTAAGCAGAGGCAAAAGCACGACCCGTGGCCGTGCTGCCACTAGCTACATTAAAAGGTAGCAGGTAGCCGGTAGCATCTAATTAAATCAGTCGCTCCCACAAGCTCTCGACGGCGAAGTCTGAAAACCTCGCGGAGTCGCCGCAGCGCTGCGGCTCATCCCGGGCGCATGGACCGAGCCCATCGGCTCCTTTGCCATCCATCCAAAGCATGTTTTCCGCACTCCAGTAGCTCAAAATGGGCGTCATTCCCCGAGACAGGGCCTGAGTGAGCTCCTCCACACTGGAACTTCCCCCGAAGTGGTAGGAATCCGCGGAGATTTCAGCTGACAAGTCACAGCCTTTTCCACTCTGCGAGAGGCGCGTGGTCAGGGCACGCAGGCGGCCCCTTCCATCCGTGGGGAAGCCAACCTCCACCTGGAAAGGCCGGCTGGTGTCGATGCACCGACCTCCAGGCCCATACTCCTGCCGAGTCCAATCCCGGTGTGAGTTCCACGTGGATCCACCGCCATACCCAGAACCCTTGCCTGAGCCATCCTGCGCAAGGTGCAGCACAGAGTGGAAGGCGTGCTTGTTGGCCTCTTGCAGGTCGATCTCAGTGCATCGCACCCCACAGACGCTGTTTGCATCGCAGTAGTAGTCCTCACAGCCAGAAACTTCATGATTCTGAGGCAGAGATGCGAGGTAGACGGCGGCATTACAGCCACATTCGGCATTGGAGACATCCGTGGTCCAGCGCAAACGCTTGCCAAGCAGCTGCAGGCTGCTGTAGTGCCCATTGGAGAATTCTCCAGGCTGGCAAACGTCCGAGAAGTATGTCCTTCCCTTCATGAAGACCTCGACGGCCCCATTTTGAAGCCTCACTTCGCCAGCGGGGTCCCAGGGCTTGTTCCAGTATGCATTCGACAGCTGCATGGAGCCATGTCCGCGCAACTCAATCGTTCCTGGGCAACTTGCACCCTGTCCTCGTTGTGCCACTGGTGACTGTGGAGACTGGGCCGGGGCTGGAGATGCAGGAGATGCCTTGCAGGCCTTGTAGTCTGCGCAGCAGTTCCCAAAGGCTTCGCATTGGGAGTTGCATTGGCAGACCCGATTTGCCTGGTAGTCAGCAGGGCAGCCAAAAGACTGGCAGCTGCCAGAACAAGCCCTGAAGTCGTTGCAGCAGTTGCCGTAACCCTCGCATTTGTCGTTGCACTGACAGCTCTGATGGGGCCTGTAGTCTTTGGAACAACCAAAGGCCTGGCAGCTGCCCCGTGCTTTTTGCTCTGGCGCCGTGTGGTTTCCGTCAGCCACAGCAACAGCAATGCACGAGAACAATGAGATCCATGCAAGCGATCTGACTGATCTGCCGACGGGCTCCATCTATGCACCTACCTGTACACCTCACGGTTCTGCGCAAAGGAGCCCGAAGTGGCTGCAACATTTGCAAGATTCCCGTGGCTTGCTACCTCCATGCTGCTTGGAACAGAGGCTCATAGGAGCGCCCCCTGGACGTGCACAGACCTCCAACTACGACATGTGAGTAGCCTGACACATGAAATTGATGAAAACACACAGCATGCCATCGCCTTGTGTCACTGGATGAGACTTTCGGTTTGATCCGGATGAACTGATGATGGTCGGGACTCGCGCTCGCCTGCACGTAGGATGATGATTTCAACTGGGTGGAGATAGCAGTGCGGCAGTGGATGCTGCAAGAGCGACTCGTATGGCCACCGAGCTCGTTGCAGACAGCATGGAGTCCAGCTACCACGGAGGACCAACAGGAATGGCCAAGAACGGCTC